CTTTCTCACATCCACCAACCTTCCGTTGTCTTGATAAGCCATTCCACCCCGCCCCACCCCAAAGCCAGCCCAGATCAGAACAGACCCCATGGGGGGGGGATCATTATGTTAAAAACTCCTCTTCTACTCTTTGGTAAGGTTGATCCTTCACCTACTGGAGAAGAGGGACCGATCCGGACTAAAGGACGGCTCCCGGAGTCCTGCTGATACCCCAGAGGGCTAAAAGGGGAGGGGGGAGAGAAGGGGGGATCTTTTGTAGGAACGGAGTCTATAGGGCAGGATTTGGCAAGCGGTGCCCCTAACTGGGCTCACAAGCAGCCCTCGTTAAGCGTTAAGAAGGGGGGGGTGCTGTGAGCCTGCCTAAAGTCGATGCAGGTCGTCCGCTCCCTGGCAAGCTGGCCATCGCTCTCAACTGGCTTGAGCCAGATTTCATCCCTTTTGTTTTGCTTTTAAAAGGAAGCGCCGATAAGGAGATTCCCCCCCCCCCCGGCCCCCCCCCCCCCCCCCCCCTCCTTTTTTTTTCCCCCCCCGGCGGGGGGGGGGTTAATCTCCTTCCCACTTGACCAACTTTCTCAGCTCCCGCGACGCCAAACCCGACAAAGGACCGGATCCCTCGCCAACCCACAAGCTCCCCACGGCGGCGTTGGAGGACCAGCCAGAAGAGGGAAGGACCTCCGGGTGGGTGGGGGGGTCAAGAGGGGCACATACACGCAAAGAGAGGAGAAAGGCGCGGGGCATGTGCCTGGTGCCGACGATCACTCACCTGGGAGGTGGGAAAGCGCCGTCAGGCAAATGCCTGTAGTCCACCAGCCCCCGAACCAGCCCTTTTTCCCGGCCATCGGGGGGCGAAAAGAGCGAAGGCGCAAGAGTTCCGGGGGGGCTCCGAGGAAAGGGTGCCGGCGATGGACTCCGGGGGACGGGGCCCCGTCGAGCGTGAGGATCGAGGATCGAAGACCTCTCCGTCGCCGGCGGCGGCCACAGCATCAATTGGCTCCACGCCAAGAGAAGGACCGCCCCCCACCCCCGGTTAAAATTTTTATTTTCCTAAAAAAAAATTAATATAAAATGAAAGGAAGGTGTCTTGCGTCCGGCCGGTGTGTGTGGGGGGGGAGCAAAGGACGGAGAGAGGGCGGGAGGAGATCGACCAGAATAGATCCGAATCGGTGGGATCACACGGCCGAAGTTGGGGGCCGAGCGCGCGCGCGCCTCCAGCTCTCCCCGTTTCCCCTGCGGGAGAAAAGCCGCGCTAGCGGAGATCCCCGACGACGTCCCAGCTCTTGGCCAATCGCTCCTTCCGATCTGGCCGCTTCAGCGCCTGGTCCCCGGCGAGGCCACAGCCCGGCTGTGGGTTACCCGAAGGCGGCGGCGGCGGCGGCGGCGGCAGGGTCGGGGGCACAGCAGCCCAAGCAGCGAAGAGACACCCTTCTTCCTCCTCCTCCTCCTCGCCTGTCTTCTTTTTCCTCCTCCTTCTCCTCCTCCGGGGTTGCTCAGACCGGATCCTGGCGACAAGTCATCTCCCGATGCTGAGCGCTCCGCTCCGGACTCCCCTTGCGCGACAAGATCGCAGCCAGATTTCGCTTTGAAAAAGAAAAAAGAAGAAGAATCCCTCACGCCGTCACCACCACCCCCCAAAAAAGCAGATGGTGAAAAAGAATCCCGATTATTTTCCTCCCCGCGCTCGCTCGCTCACTCCTCCGATCCGCTCCTTTCCTTCCTTCCTTCCTTCCTCTCCGGGCTCTCCCTTCTCACTCCAGCCACCGATCGCGGGGGCTTTGGCGGGCGGTCCCAGCAAGGCAGGAACCAGGAAGAGAAACTCAGGAACAAGGAAAAGAAACTCAGAAAACAGAAAGAAATTATAAACTAAAAAATAAACTAAGTAGCTAAATGAAGTAAAGGAGAGCAGCGCTACGAGGCGGCGGCGGTGGCGGCGCTGGGCTGCAGCAGCATCAGCACCGGCGATGCGCCTCCCTTGCTGGGGCGGGCTGGGGCGCGCAATGAGCCGCCCACCGAGCGGCCCGCCGGGGAACTCGAGGGAGGGAAGGGAAGGGAGGGAGGAGGGCGCGCGCGTGCACGACGCCAGCCAGTGAGCGCTCCCCCCCACACACACGCCACACGCGCGCGCACGCCACCCCGAGAGCGCCGGATTCCAAGGCAAGGCAAGGCAAGGCAAGGCAGGGACGGGCGCGCGCGCGCGCGCGCATAGACACACACACCCCTCTCTCCCCGCCCTCCCTCCTCCCTCGGCCCCGCCCTGTGAGTGA